TTCTTAAATTGGTTTTCACGTTCAATAACTGGACCAAGCAATTGACGCACATTAGCATTCGATTGGTGTTTGGTCTTTTCAAAAATAGCACATTTGTCAGACGATTGTAGAATATTGGTTATGAGTTTATGTGTTCGATTGTCAAAGCCTTCAGTTGAATTGAGCTGTTTAATAGTTGTTGTGAAAAGATCACGAATTTCAGTTTGTTCAAGGTTTATAACACTTTCAATAGCATTTTGCAGAACTATGCCAAACATATCGGTGAATGGCAATTTATTGACATGTTTATACATACTAGTAAGTTTATGTGAAAGAATGTCTTGGTCATTATTGCTAATTACATATTGACCATTAGGTATGTGATGATAAAAAACGTCATGTGCAATCGCGCAACAAAAGCAAGTGGTTTATATTTAATTGACGATCTTGTTCTAGCAAAATCACCTGCCAGTAATGATACAGTGGCGATGATGTTTAAAACCATGAGAACCGAAAGAATGATCAAATTTGCACTTGAATTTCCTGAAGAATCTCAAGGGGAAAGATTTTATGTGATATTTCATAACGTGCGATCATTGAATAAACATTTTTTGGACATCAAATCTGACAAAACATTTTTGTCTGCTTTTATGATAAGTCTTGTGGAAAAATGGGCAAAACCTGGTGACTCTTTGGAAATCGAAGGTTTCAAGATAGTTCAAAGACGTGATTGTAATCATATGTGAAAATCATATGGCCAAATAACTTATTTAAAAAATGACTTGAACTATGAAAATATTATCGAAAGATGTGAATATTTAGGATAAAATCATATTGAATATTCCTCAATAAAAATTGATGATATTTGTATTATTCCCGTTTACAGTTCACCAAATGCGTCATTCGATGTCTTAAAACAAAATATTAATGAAGTTATAACGGTTTCAAAACGATTTTGTGAAAATATAATTGTCGCGAGTGATTTTAATATAGATTTGAAGATTAAAACCAATTACAAATTCGTTGAATACATGGAATCATTCGGGCTTACTTTGAATAATAAATTAGGTAAAAACTCAACTAATGCTAAAGCACAGATTGATTATTGCTTCACTAATTTGAATGATTTCAAATTTGACTATTTTGAAAGTCTCACAAGTTTTCATAAACCGATATGGATAAGAAAACATCCAATTGTGACTGAATCTCACGTTGATGAAAACAAACATATTTGTACAGATATGTCTTTTAATCTCAAAGATCTTAAAATTAATGATCAGTCTGCCATGATGGAAATTGATGAAGAATCTTCTTTCGAAAGTCATAAAAGCATTGATTTAAACTCAAGAAAGATTCTTGATCACTTTCTTTCTGTACATGATATTAATAACAATACTGTGATCATAAATCAAATTTTAAGTCAAGCTCAAATAATTAATCATTCACTTGAAAGATCACCATATATAACTGTACATAACAAAGATTAATCTGTTAAACTGAGACAGAAAACAGAATATTCTGTTCAAACATTCGACTCAGTCTACGCAAGAATCCACACAACTGAAGATGGCAATTGTTTATATAATTCTCTTTCAATACTTAATATTGGTTCTGAAAGACTAGCACATTCAATGCAATGATTAATAATAGTGATCATTTTAAAGAATTTGCAAAGCATTGAATTATTCATTTGAAGAACAGATGAAAAGAACTGCCACGGATGCAAAATGGGGTGGAGAAGTTCAAATTCAAGCCCTTTCTGTAGCCTTATATCAGCCTATTTATTCATATGTCAAATTCGAGAGTAATCCAAAAAATGGACACTATATTCCATCCGATATCAGTCTACAAAAATTGATCAATCGATTCGATAAAGGAACCGCAGGTGGTCATCTTAAATATATTGGATACAAATCAGATATGAACAAGTTGAGTTTATGTATTTATTTCACCGGAAATCATTATGATGCTCTCTTACGTTTTCTAAATAATCCTCAACAATTTATACCCAAGCATGATATAATTAATATGAATTTATAAAATGAAGGAAGGTTCCATAAACTCATCAAAATAATTAATTAAAATAAACAAGTTTTCATTTATGTAAGTAAATAAAGACTTCAGAGCTAACTCCTTGCCACGTCTCACGGGACAGAAAGAGAGCATCGAAAGTGCAGAAGGAGGAGTTCCTTGCTAGAGGTCAATAAATGAAAATAAATTTGTTTAGGATAATTGAATAAGAAAAAGAGAAAAAAGTGTTAACCTGAGTAAAATAGTCTTATTCTATTGTGGTAAAAATGCAGTTGTAAGTAAGCAATCAGGAAGCTCTCTTCAATATTGTGTAAGTGTACTTGCAAGAACATGTGGATCATAATTAAGTTCATTTAATGTTGTTTCCCTATCAATTGTTTGTAAATTAAGTCCAGCAACAATGATTTTTGTTTTCCTTGTGATAGTGCAATACGAAAAAGACCTTCTTCATTTAAACTATTTTCTAATAGACGAATACATATTTCAATTGGATAAGCAATTAATGTATCTTTTCTTTTTGAACAATGTTTTATAAGATCATAACCAAATAATGGAATTAAATCATCATTTTCCAATCTTTGTTCAATTTCAGGCATTTTTGATGATAAATATCGAGATATATTATTATAAAATTGATTTTCTTCATATAAATATTGATAAAAAAAGTTTAATTGTAATTGAATGTTCTTCACTAGCTATTTTATATGTTTCAGTTGCATATATATCGCGTGATAATGTTCGAGATTGTTCATATTCGCAACGAATATCTTCTAATTCACGTAAACGTTCATCAAAATTTGCTAATATTAAACGATCAGATCGTGTATGAAATCTTAACAAAATAATTAGAACATTTTTTATTTTAAATAATAAAAACAGAAACATTTTTAAATTGGCATCAGCTGTTTCTAATTTTTGTTGAGCTTTTTCATAATTATCTCTTAGTTTAGTCATTGTTTGACGAATAGTTGACTTATATTAAAAATAAATCAATAAATAAATACTTGTTTATCTCTAGCTTGTTCAATAATTTTTTAAAATTGTTCAAGCCATTCTTTTCTTTTTGGAATCAATAAAATCATGTATTTGAATTAAATCCTCAATTGTTTGATTTAAAATCGATAAAGCACCATTTATTCTATATGGAGAACGATAACAACGTGCAACATCACTCAAACGAAATTCTTTCAATGATTTTGATACATCCTTATCAATACTTTTATTTAACTTACAAAATCTTTATTTATTTTCCAAAGATCAGACTATACTTTACAAGAATCTCGAATATAACGAACTAGATTGTATTAATCAGGTACATCATCACTTCTATATTAATAAATATAAAGAAACAAAATATTTTCATTTTTTATTTTCGAATTTCTTTGTTTAACCATATCGATAAATATCCTATTCAAATAAATTTATTTTCAAAACATTTTTATAACGATTGATTAAATTTATTTCCTTAGAAATTTTTAATCGATAATTCGAACTATTTTATCATTATTTCGTCTTATAGAACGTTTCTATCTAGCAGTTGAAAACAGATTTTCGACAAAACACGTTCAAATCGGATGAAATATTAATCATTTGTTAGCGATCGTTCAGTAGAGAGAAATAAATTGTGCCAAAATTGTTCAGATCAATATAATGTTTCCAGGGGTGGCGCGAGTCAACCAACATTGGGGGGGTGTAGCGAAATTTTTTGGACTAGAAAGACGAAGTCTGCAATTTTTCGGGGGGTGTAACATTGTTTTTGGTGACAAATGGAAGAAAATTTCCTGATTTTGTTGAGCAAAAAAACAGAAATTTTTGAAGATTGGGGGGGTGTCGCACCCCCGACTACCCCCCGGTCGCGCCACCCCTGAATGTTTCTAGGATAGATTATTAAAATAATAAATAATCTTCGTTATCAATCTTTATATATAATAAGATAATCAATATAGATTCATCTAGAAATCGATTTATATAATAAGTAACGCATTTTTGACCAGATGTTAGGAGATAGTTAACTATTTAAATTAGCTTTGAAAAAATAACAATAAAGATTTAATATGAATGTTCGATTTTTTTAATTCCACGAATATAAAAACTATTCTTTAAATCTATTTTAATAATATAAAACGTTTGGTTAAATTTGAAAAATTCTTTTTAACAATTTGAATACTCTTCAAAACAAATGATATTTTATTTCTAAATAAAGATTTTTTTTAATGAAAAACAGTAAAATATAATTATTATCTTAGCTCGACAATAATAACATAAAATTATTTCATTGTAAAACTATAGAAAAATTTTTAACAAAAAAAAACACTAGCAAAGGGTTAAGCCAATTAAATTAAAATAAGTAAATTGAATAAAATCTTATTTCTATCAATATTAGTCTAACCATTGAAATGATTTATTATATAAATATAAGATTTCATTTATTTATTTAAGAGTTGCATTCATTCAATAAATATCTTCCGTTCGTATAATATATGTTAAATCGATCGAGTTATTTCGATTTCCATTGAAAATAATTCTTTGAATATATTATATCTTTCGAATATAATTTATCAGTGTTTTTTTCCCTCACTTCAATATTAAAAAACTATTTTATTAAATCGAAATAAACCAAACATAAATAAAGATAATAAATGAGATTTATTTTTATTTTTGAATCGCTAATATAAATAAATCTGTTAATATTATAATATAACCATATTCAATAGAATTACAATTATAATAACAAAAACAAGAGAAACATCTTATTATATAAATCGATTATTTAAAATGTTAATTAAAATAAATATATATATATATTGAAAAAAAATTTATATATAATAAGTTGTTGTCTTTTTATTTAAATTAAAAA